GTGTGTGTGTGTGTGTGTGTGTGTGTGTGTGTGTGTGTGTAGCAGGGGAGCTTGCAGCAGAGCATGTTCTGTGAAATCCCCTCAGATTGGAAAGGCGGCTCCACACCCAGCGAGCGTGGGCCGGGGATTTGCATGGGCAAGGAGCCATGGTGTCACTGATCCTCTTTTAATTGGGTGTGACGATGAGAACTTTGGAGCCTCTGCAGTGTGTGTGTGTGTGCGTGCGTTTGAGTGTGTGAGGGAYGATTGAGGAGGGGTGGGCCCTCTGCCGTGAAAGATTGTGGTTATTTAATCTAAATTCAAAATCTGTTGAGTAATATAGTCAGTTATGTGTTTTGTTTTCAAGGTTCTACAGATGTTGAGCATTCACTCAATATAAAGCTGAGGGAGGTCTCCTTTTGACCGCAGTAGGTGACCTCGATTAAATTCACTGAGCAACGTTTAAAAGCGTTTAGTGGTTTTATATAAAAGAAACTCAGCAAATATTGGATGGATTAATGTAAAATCTTAGCAAGARTTTTCCTTTTTTTCAGTCCAGCATCATCATCAGGCAGACTGAAAAAACCCAACATAGTGTCTTTTTTATGCAGCTGACAAACAATGGTATGTTTTAAAGCCTAAGACCCCTTCAGCCAGTATTTGTAGTGCATTTTCTTTTAAAGTAAATGCAAAATTTTCCTTACATTTACTCAACTCAGTTAAGTGGAAGCTGTTGACATAACCTGGTTAAGTAAATCCAACCATCTGTTTTTTGAGTGTACACGACTCCAGATTAGGTTTTAGGTTGACATAATTTTCTCTGTTCATAAAAGAAAGACATTCAGTCCAACTGATTCTGAAGCAACAGATTAAATATCCAAACTGATCAGGTGTGAGAACATTCACATTAAATAATCATTAAAATACAGAAAATATTCTAAAATAAGCTGAAGATTCTCTCAGTAAAAAGCTGATTAGTGTCAATGCATGCCTGATGATTACTTTCTATAAATTTGTTCAAATGTGTCTAGTTGTACATTAAATATTTAGCTAACAAGCACAGCAAAGATCTCAATCAATCAGGCAGCCCTCAGAGTGTAAGTTGTGACTGACTCTCTGCTACTACCTCGTCAATTTGAGCTCAGTGTGTATTTTCCAGGTGCATAGTTCAATTCTATAAGTAACTGTTACCTTCAGTTGTTAGGAAAATGTCAAAAATAAATTTGACTTTGCATCTAAATGTCTTGAAATTGCCCTCTGTCTCTTGATAAAAATAATAATAAAATCAAGTTGTTGAGATTTTTGCACGTGAAGTAACAGCAAGTGATGTCAAAGGCCTGCATGTAAACAAAGCTTTGTTAAAAAGTTGAACAGCATCCTGTAGAGAAGAATTTTATGTTTATTTACATTATTTTAAGTCACTATCAGAGAGAAATGAAAAAGAGTCAGAGTTCAAATTTTATTTCAACAAAAACCAGAGAGTTCCCTTTCTTAGAGTTCCCCTTTGATGTCACTTCCTGTTTCACTTTGAGCCAAGTTCAAATGAAAAATGCCAGTTATGCAACAAAATGGGTAAAACCATGTGTTATGCCAAGTTTTTTTTAATACAAAGATGTTTTCTTTGATTTTTTGTACTTAAAGTGTGCACGTCACAGACACTTTAATGTCTAAACTTATTTGAAATAATTTTTTAAGTCTTTCGCTTCTCTTCTGTTTCTCCCATCCAGTTTTATTCTCAGAATTGTGCACTTCTAACACATTTTTAATTTGTCTTCACGTAGAGCTGTCCCCTGGCCTCGCAGCACTGACGATAGGCTGTGACTCTGGAAATCTGGGCTCTTTATCTCGAGTCCAGCTGCTCCTCCTGGACCGGCCGGAGGCTGACTCTATGTTCAATCTGCCTAATCGAAAGGAGGCATTCTCGCCGCTCCAAGAATGGTCGGATCTGACGATGCAGTATGATGATCTGGAGTTTACATTACCAGGTACGGCTCTGAAAGAAAACGCAGACAAAAAAAACAAGGTAAAATTGTCTAAAAGGCTGATAAATTGGGGTTTGAAAGACAAACATATTTGTTGGTTGCTAATATAGTAGAATCATTATACCCCTTCCCTTACCATATGTTTTGTTCCCCCACCCCCCTCCCATCCTTAGCTGCTCTTTCTTTCGCAGAGTAGTTTTTTTGGAGTGTATGCTCGTGCGTTTTTTTTTTTTCTGAATAAAACACAGGATCAAAGCTCTTTTTTTAACTCATCCTTCCTATGTGTGTGTATTCTAAACTGCAAAGGTAGCGCACTACGTTGCGAAAGACCCTGGACATTCGTTCCCCCATGTTTGTATGTGTGTTTCTCCGGACGGATGTTCTAAACTGCAAATTTCATTCTACATTGCATCTTGATGTTGTGTATGAATGACAATAAACGATTCTTGTTCTTGATCATTATCTTCAAAAATTAAGTATAATCCTACAAAAACATCCAAAAACACTCAATATAAGCAGTTATTGTCAAATGTAAACTGAGCCAAAAGAGAATTTTAGGTTGTTCTAACTGATAAAATGTGTTTATTTAGTCCAATCTCAGTTGCTCTGACAAAACTTTCTGACCGTTTGAAAGAGATCGTTTGATAAGCAGGAACCGCCGCTGAAATAACTGGAAGCAGACAGGTGTGTCCACGTGTGTAAGCAGAAATGTTAGCGCAGAAAACACACTTAAACACGACACCGTGTTTTCTCTGCAGCCGGCCTTGAGAGCAAGTCGAGCTTTTACGACATCGAGCATCTTTTTTTTTTTTTTTAACGAGCTGCGATACAGACCCTCATCTGCTCCCAGGCGTGCCGCTACGAGCTCCTAACTGAAGGTGTGGTCACACAGAGAACAGGTTTGGAGGAATATCAGGATGTGCCATATTAATAAAGATCAAACTGCTGGAGTGGATCATTAACAGGGGAACTCCAGCTAAGATAGCTGCAGACACTTAAAACCAACAACACACATAATATGGGATAAGAAACTGGGACGAGTGTGTGCAGAAAACTCAATTAGCGAGTCGCCTCTTGTTTATAGTCTGATAACACTTTCGAGAGGAGATAAAGGCTGCAGACGTTTAAAAGTTTGTATTGGTGCGTGACCACACAATCATTTGGGTTTATTCTCTGTATTTTGACATATTTTTTCTGTTTTTGGTTTCTACGCATTCCAATTATGCGAAGGATATTTTTTCTAAAAAGTCGATACAAATGACATCATTTTCAAGTCATAGAGTATAATTTGAATGTTATTGAAAATAAATCCCAACGATAACCGTGTGTATGGTAGGAGCTCATCTTCATCTCCGTATTCTGACACTTGTCCATAGTCGGGTCACAGAGGCAAAAAAATCCAGGAGAAAAACTTAGACATCCCTCTGCCCAGCGACACTTTCCAGCTCTTTCTGGGTCTTCCCCGGGCCTCCTACCAGTGGGATGAGCCTGGAGGCTGGAACACCTCTAAAGGGAGGCATCCAGGAGGCGTCTTAATCAGATGAAAAACCTCAACTGACTCCTTTCGATGTGGAGGAGCAGCGGCTCTACTCCGAGCTCCCCCTGGATGATGGTGCTCCTAACCCTATCTCTAAGGTCCGGCCGCCCTACGAAGGAAGCTCATTTTGGCCACTTGTGCCCAGGATGTCCTTCATTTGGTCATGWTCCAAGCCTCATGACCAAAGGTGAGAGCTGGATTGTAGACAGACCAGTAAATCCAGAGCTTTGGCTTTCGACTCAGCTCTTCCTTCACAAGGGCCGACTGAAGCATTGCCGAGGATGAGGCCCCAATCAGTCGATCCACCTCCTGCTCCATCGTACCATCACTCGTGAACAAGACACCCAGATACTTCAAGTCCACAAACACATGTAGACTAGAGAGGCAAACTTCCACAACCCCCTTAGCAACTCCACCAGGGTAAAGATGTGGCCCACTGGATATCAGAAAAAGCCAACCAGAGCGGCTCATAGATATTTTGCTTGAGGCTCCAGAAGTTGTCAATAAGGGTTGAGGTCAGGGGAGGATGGGGGCCACAACTTTTATGCCTATAGCAGCCAATGATGCAGAGGTATTCCTTACAACATGAGATGATGCGTTGTAAAAATAAAAATAAAATAAAAAAAGATGGTTTTAGTCTTTGTGTATTTCTGGACCCACTTCAGCTGTTTCTGCTTGTGASCACTGGTTAGGGGTGGCTGATTAGAAGGTTTAGTCATAACTGCAAGCCTCTGGAGGATGCTACACCTTGGTGTTTGTGAGACTCCAGAGGCATCAGCAGCTTCAAATGCTGCGTTGTCATGGCATTTTAGCAGCTGCTCTCTTAATCTGACGTATTTGTCTGGCAGAAACCTTCCTTGTTGTGCCTTTATCTTCACAAACCTGTGTGTGCTCTGAATGCCACAAAATCCCTTGGCATTACGATGAGCACGCTTAAGTTTTCGTGAAATATTGAAGGTTTTCATACCTTGTTCAAGGCATTCAACTGTTTCACACATTTCGGCAGCAGAGATCTTTTATTCTTCCCATTTTGCTTAAAAAATGTTGGTCTGCTTATTAATGTGAAACATCTTTCTTCAGTAGTTTTTCCTTTAATTAGGTTCACCTGGTGAACTACTTGTCACAGAGGTCTCAGAGAATCCATGACTTTTATTTATTTATTTATTTATTTATTTTTTTATTTATTTATTTATTTATGTTCCGCTCTCGGAGGAGTAAGATACTTTTCCCTTCTCTCCTGCCCTTCCTTATCTTCCCTGCTTTGCTGCTTGGAGCCTTCTGGCTGTTCTGGATATATTTCTGGATTCCGATCACTGGATTCTACAGATTGGCTTGGTGGTCTCCTGGTGTTCTATAAAACAGTGTTGGTGGCTTTTCATTTCCTGGCTGCCTGACCAATATGGATGGCCATACTATCAGCACTCGACTTTTGCCTTGAGCGAGCTGGACTTGGTCTGCAAGCGTTTCTATTGAGGGTCGCGGGCCGGCTGTGGTCCCTGGACTTTGCTGGCCAGATGGAATTGATCTTGGAGAAGCTGATAGTACGGCTCGGCAGAATTTGTCCACACTATTTGTCTGATTGGATTCGCCACCTTGAGATGTACCAGCAGATATTGAAGCAGATGGAAAATTATCGTCTGCCTGACTCTTCTGTTCCCAAAACAACTGATTACAGATTCTGCTCTCCCCTAAATGGCCTTGAGCTGTTGACTAAATTCTTCTTGGTTGGATTACGTCGACTGAGGCTCTGCCCCACACCTTCTCCCTTCTCACACCTGTCTGTGATCTGGTTCCTGGAGCAAGCTGAAGGCCACACAGAATGAACACTTAACATCCATATTCTGAACTATGGCTGCGCAGGTTTTGGGGACTCGATTCTTCGGGCTCATTCTTCAGATATTCACACAAGTGCATACAACACTCATGACTTCAGATACACGCCCCACTAAACTCACTTACTCCTCTGGTTAATAAATCTGCTGTATGCAGATTTTTTTTTATAAACACCRTAGTGTGTCAGTGTTGATATAATGTGATGTTTTTGTTTTGTTTTTTCTCATCTTCCCTTGTGTGGTTTTTAGTTTTTCTGTTAAGAGTAGTGCCTCCTCATGATGTCTTCATGAAGATGATCCTTGCTCTGTGTAGGGTCAGTAGCAGCATTACCCAGGGCACCTGTTCTCCCATGTTTGTTATGTTCTGTCTTCTTCTGAATGGGTATTCTGAACTGTAATTTCATTGTGCTCTGTACAATGACAATAAAGTTCTCTCTAATCTCTAATCTAAAATCAGTTTATGACACTTACATACAATTTGTTTAAGAATTTATAACATGGTGTATATTTGGAACTTTTATAGCCTCTTGTTCAGTCTGGAGTGCTGTTTAAATTAACAGTTAAGGAGCATAATTTCACTTCTAAACCTGTTTGAACTGAATCAACTTCAAAACCAGAAAAGTTCAACTTTTTTATTTGGAATCACTGTCTCCTACTTCGTCACGTAGATGCATGACATCCTTGGTATTTTTGTTTCCAGGCATCTGTACCTTCGATGGTTACATGAAGCCTAAATCTGTCTGAGTTTACTTGCAGCTCCTCTCTGTCTCCAGAACAATGTTTGCACCTGGCACGCTCCTGTAGGGCAGGTGCTCCTCTGGCGTTTTGTCGCTCCATTTTCTGCCATTATTTGCTCAGAGATTAAGAGCCATAATTGGGACTACTGCACAACATTACTCATATCTGAGCACACACACTTGAGTACAAAAGACAAATGCGTGGAAGTGTGTGTGCGTGCCAGAGGCCAGCACTTGAACGGGCCCGCAAGCCTCATTGCCTGCAGCACAACTGCAAACACACAATTGCTTCCTCTCGCTCGAAGCTTGATGACTTTGCTCTCTGTGGTTTTTTTTCTTTTTTTGTCAGGTCATTCGAGGCCCCTCACAGCTGGCAGCATCTCCGAAAGGTGCGACTCCGCAGGGGAAGTCCGAGAAAATAAATCGGTGAGTGCCACTGCCCCTTTAAAGCCCCTCCTCATCCCCCCTCCTCCCCACATTTATCAGGCTTGCTTCAGAAGTGCCGTGCCTTGTTGTTAACAAACACTTGACCTTCAGGAATCAACTTTTATCACACAATAACCACAAAGCACGCACAGATAGCATCCCGCCCATACAATAGCCCCCTTTCACAAACTCGGGCAGGCRTGCATTTATAACTGTCGGTCCTGTAAGACGAGCCAAATTGTTGTTGATAATTGAGACACAATATAACAGAGGGCACGCGGCGTGCAGCAGGTGTGTGGTTAATCAGTCACGGGCTGAAGAAGGGGAAAGACCCGATTTTTTTTTTTTTTT